TTGTACTGCAGCTGTATGGCTTTTATACGATATTCATGTTGACGCAGTCCACAAGACTTCCTCCCTCGTTTAGAGTGAAAACGTGCTGAGCTTTAGTCCATCATGCGATGGACATCATCAGAGCTGGGTGTCATTCTTAAAAAAGTCTCACGTTAACACTAGGGCAAAAACACTACCCGGCTCTATATAATAAGTAAGATAGAGCCGGATAGTGTTCTTACCCTATTGTTAACGTGAAACTTTTACAAAAATGACACCCAGCTCTGATGATGTCCATCATATAATAGACAAAAGCTCAGCAAATGTTCACCCTAAACGAGGAAGGAAGTCTTGTGGACTGCGTTTACATGAATATCGTATAAAAGCCAAACGGCTACAGTACAACGAGATTCATCCGTCCTCATCTGGTGAGATCGACTAACGAATCTCTTCTTCATCCGCTTACATACAAAACAAAAATCCTTCTAGCAATGTTGTTTCAAGAGATTCATCGAAACTCAGTTTCTATTGATATCTATAATTATTTTATCTAGCGAGAAACTTGGCACATATATGTCTAATGTTCTCTATATTTGTAAGCTGATATAAAGTACACAATAATTTTATAACTTTATATTTAAAATAGTTTTATATTATTATCCATTATTTATTAACCATCAACCTTTTGTTTTAGCCCGCAGCAGACCCTTTTTTTAATTCTGCCTCTACAGCATGTCCAAGCGTGGTAGGTTACTTGACTATCTTCGCTACTATTTATTCTCGCTACTTCCCTGATTCCCATCATCTTTTGATTATTAATTACAGGACGAGGAGGTACCTCTGGAGGCAAATTCCGTATCTCGCTGGGTCTTCCCGTTGGGGCTGTTATGAACTGTGCTGACAACACAGGTGCCAAAAATCTATACGTAATTGCTGTATTCGGAGTCCGCGGACGATTAAATCGGCTTCCATCTGCAGCAACCGGGGATGTTGTAGTGTGCTCAGTAAAAAAAGGAAAGCCTGAACTTCGAAAAAAAGTGTGGCGGGCAGTAGTGATAAGGCAGAGAAAAGCATTTCGTAGGAAAGATGGCACGTTTATTTACTTTGAAGACAACGCAGGGGTTATCGTAAATAATAAAGGCGAATTAAAAGGTAATGAGTTATTTGCTTATTTTTTCATAGGCTCGGCAATAACTGGTCCTGTCGCCAAAGAATGTGCCGAAATGTGGCCCAAGATTGCATCTAGTGCAAGTTCAATACATTGATAATAAAGTTTGAGGATTTGTAATATCTTGTCTTTTACTTATTCTTCGATGTGATATTAAATGATACAGTTTTGGGGACGTATTTGAGCTTATAGCAGTTCGTTATCCACTTGTCCTTGTCGCTGATCCTTGTTTTTGCATAGTATTCTCTCGGTTCACAGCTTTGGATTCCGCTCTGTCTACACCCTTATCTCCACTCTCTTTAAGTTTTCTGCGTGAGTTTATCTCGTATCGCATTTCTTTGGCTTATTTCAGTCTTCCGGTAATATTTGTTTGTCTCTTGTATTTAATTTTGCCCTCAGCGTTAGCTTCAGGATTCTCTTGTAAAAATGGGATTATCCACATATTTTTATGCTTTTCTAAATATGTAGGTTAGTTTTTCGAATTAGCGGCTCTGATTTTTTTGTTTGCCTTATAGACCCTATTCAATTATATTTGCCTTTCCAGTTCTTACTATTTTAGCTACGTTTTCGTACTTATTTGTCCGTCTACATTTGATATTGATTGCTATAAGTGTAATAAATTAAAAAAATTCCTCTATCTATGTTTCCTTTATTTTTATTCTATTCAATATGACTGATGAGAGTGTACCGGTTTATTCATTAAGTACCCTTGGACGCGCTTTGCAAGCTTCCCTTGGTTTAGTGATTTGCGTTTGTTTATCATTTGAATATGAACTCTAATTTGAGCTTATGTAGGCTTTTCATATAGTTTTTATACTGCTGATTCGTATTTTCGCGCTATGGTGATTTATCTTTTTAATGAACCTTAGTGGCTAGGTCGTTTCCATCAACTATAGTTATATTATCATGCATACATAGGGAACCGTTCTGTCAGCATTTTTATAAACTGTTTCTTTATTGGGCTTCATCTTTCCACCAGTACTCTAATTTGTATTTTAAATAACATCTCAAATGATATTCTTTATTTGAAATCCTATTTTAGGATTCTTAATATAAATTTTCCACCTGTAAACTCAAGTAGCATTACCACATGTCACGCTTAAAGGTGATATTATAGCTGGCTATCCGAGCCTTAATCTCCATTGCCAGGATCTTGGAGAATTCTGACTGAATTCTTTTCTATATAAATCTTTCTTTCATTTAGCCTTAAATGGTCAAGTTGACTTGGGCTAGCTTTACCACAATTCTGTCGCACCAGGACAGCGTTGATGTCTGTGGTTGCGCTTGCTCCGTCATCTTTGTTATAATGCTTTTAAGATTTAGGCTAATATAAAGAATCTAGGAGGGAATAGTATTTTTCAGTTTTCGCCAAAGGGTCCTCGCCTCCGTTAATTCCTTAAAATGTCTCAGATTAAACGTCGTCTCGCAGCTCAGCTCCATCGGGTATTTTCCCCCTGTTCAACGAACTTTACATATGCCTCATTGTCTGGGGGCTAAGGCGATCAGTCTAAACTACCTTGTGAACTCCGATTTCATCGTTTTTATATACATGCTAGTAGGGCCTCAG